ATAATAGTAGAGCATAAAAAAAAAAAAAAAAAAAATGGTACAACGCATACTTAGGAGTTGTATTATGACAGGGAGATGGCAGAGCTGTCATTAGGTGAACAGGGCAAACTCAAGGGTAGGTTTGCCATAATGTGCAAGTTTCCTGTCATGGAGGAAACAATTATAATTATTCTAGAAAATCTATCCTAGCCGACCAAATCTTCTCCTGAGTAGGCTTGGCTATCAGGCATCATTGAAGGCCTGCAGGCATATACAAGTTCCCAGATCAGACCATAAATGCCTGAAAAGGGTGAACCTTCTCCAATGTCTACCGAAGCCTTTATACCGTCAGAGAAGCCATGAGCCACAGTTACTGCTAAGTCCCGCCAAAAAACCCCAGCATGTCATGTCTGGCTGCCTCCTTTGAAAGTTTTGAGAATGTGAACACCAGCTGTTAAGATGCATTACATTAAAGGAAACATGGAGGCTGCCATTGATCAACTGCTTCAAAAAAGTGCCATTTGCTTGGCAGTTATGGTGACCCTCTAACTTGAAAACGTGCTAATTTGCTGTACTGGAGCATATACGTAGATCAGGACTTCGGACTTTCCTGCTGCATACTTATTGCTGGTCAGTGACGCCAACATTATTGAACTCACAGGCCACCGGGAAACTAGCATTTACCACCATACTCATGGCAGCCACCATCAGTCCAGTGGAGTATAACTCATCCATAGGAATCAATAAGGCTGCAGCATAAATGTGCACTAAGAAGAGGACCCGGTGGCGATGTTTTTTGGTGGAAAGGCTGTACATTGCTGGACAAGTCCACACATTGAAGATCATTAAAAATGAGTAAGGTAAGTATTTTACAAGATGGGCTATACTCAGGAGGGTGGGCCCATTTTTTAAAGGACAATTTGCCCCATAAGCTTATCTTATTCCAATGTACTGTATATAGAAGTTAAAAAAAACTATAGCTGAAGTAAAAGTTCATCTATTGTCAGGGAAGGGAAACTGATTTTCCAAAAAGTTAAAGGTAGAGTCTATGGAGATCAACTGGATGAGAATAAATAAATCAATATTGTTATTACCACAAGCCAAAACAGAAAATGGAATTCTTCATACCTGTCGTTGTCCAACAAGTCTTCGGGAAAGCTTCCAGTGGACAGTCGCTGCATGGTTAGAGGTTCCTGAAGGTCGTATTGGTTGTTTTCAAAGTGTTGGATGATGTTCCTTACGTTACCAGGTTTTACTGAGAAGAGACGAAGGATTGAGGCATTAAACTAAAAAAAATGCCAGAGCCAATCTAGCCAGTCACCACTTGTATGGCCTTTGGCAGGAAGTGAGGTCATCATACAGGAAGAGACATGAAGGAAGAAAGCAGGAACACGGCAGAAAGAGAAAATCCAGAGTCTAGTAGATTAGCAGAGTTTAAATTAAAGAAGACACAGTTTCTGCAGAGCAAGATTGTGTTAGTGCAATTAGGTCAAAAGCTGAAGAAATTATAAGCCAATTGCAGTTGTGTCACATTAAGACATTGCATAGCTGGCAGTTTGATTGATGTTAATAACTGAACTGGCCTTATCACAACACCGCTGCATTTACTATGGTTAGATAAATTCTGCTATGACGCAGCTCCAAGATTTACTGATTTCTTGTACAGCTTAAATTTGGAGCTCATCTCGATTCAAAGGTTAGTTTAGTCTTGGATAGAGTTGGGAAAGATTAGAACTTTGCCTTCTATGTCGTTGTTCAGTAAAGATTTTTAAATGTTGCCTGTATCTCCTCAGAGGAGATTTCTCTTCTCTTCCCGTCACTTGGACAGGAAGTGAGAGGAAATCTCCCTCATTGGGGGCAGGGGGATTTCTCTTCACTTCCTGCTCTGATACACATAATAAAAACGGAGGCGATTCTCTTTTGCTTTAACAGGTTTGCAGTATCCATTCATTCTTGTTCCTCAGAAGCTAATCGCCATCTTGCAGGTATACTTCTGTCCTGCAAATTAGTTAGATTACATATCTGGATTAGTCCAGCTCTTATTATACTTCCTACAGCACTTACATCTGGAGCAGTCAGGAACTACAGCACAGCTGTACTAATCTAGGCATGTAAGGATGTACCCCTAACACCCCCTGTAACTTTAACAGGTATATTCGGTTTTGGTTGTGCGGTATTACTTTCACCATTAGGATGTGCTCATGAGTCATGACTGATGGATTCGTCAATTTTCTGTCCCTTTGTTAAAACCCCAATAAAACACACGGACTGCGCGACATGGATTTTCACGGCCACAGCAGCCCTTTTAGTAAACAAACCACTTTAACAATAATCAAAGTAATAAACCAAATAATATACAAAATTAATACTTTAAACAATGGTTGACCTGAGAAGGGGTCTTTGGGTGCCCGCCAGGCCAAAAAGGCCTCTCCTAACACTCCACCCATGTCCCCAGCCGCACCACAACCAACTCGAGGACACTTACTCCTTCTGGGTTCCCACGGGGCTAGGCCCCGCCCTTTACAAATCCGGACACCAACAGGGGGAAGCACCCATACCAGCTGAGGGCCCCCCATTTTTGTAATGAACTCTGATTTTGTAGACCCCCCAAAGACCCCCTAACCCGCCAAGCTGCCGTGACAAAAGAAACCCCCATAACCACAAAATTCAGGGAGGGAGGGTGGGACAACCTGCTTCCTTCGTCGATTTCCGGAAAGAGGACGTCCCTCAGCCCTCGCAGTTCCTTCCCATGCGGCTCCTCCCGGACACCTGACTCCCACGTCCAATCAGGTAAGAGCAGCT